CATACATTAGACATGTAGAAACAAAATGTCTGTATATTGTCTGTAATATTGGTCAGTCTTATGCAGAGACCCTGGTGTGATTGTGACAGCTCTGATCTTTATAAATTCTCTATCACAGATCAGTGGATAAAGGCCTATGGCACGTCACGTATACAAATTATTACTCATGAAAATCATATCATTGTTCTTCAAGCTTTGCATAGGTGTGTGTTTATGTGAGTCTACACCCATAAATGTTAGAAATTTGTTTTTTAATGGAAACAAATCATACTACTTTGTGTAAGAATTTGCAATGAATATTAGGTTCATAGATGTTTTTTATTGAGCCTTTTGTTTTTGCATACAAATAATCAGGGAAAAATACATTTTAAGCTAGTGTTAATTTCAGAAACACATGATAGACTATATGTTTGTAAGTAATGCAAGTACAATCACAATCAGCTTTGCAAAGTCATACTTTAGTATTAATTGTAATAAGCACTGTAAACCATCTACTGTCTACAGTTTCTGCAACAATAATCCCAGTTGCCTTCTCTATCTGTGTAGCACCACAGGTAATTATAGTCATGGTAGCCACAGGCGTGATCAGACCTGCAGGTTTGGTCATTAACAGTTGAGTAGCAATCATCAGAAGTACAGCACTTGTCATATTTGCCTTCATCATCTGTGTAACACCATGTATATTTTGAACCATATTTTGCACAGGCGTGGTTGCTGTGGCAGTACTTCCCATTTTTAGCCTTACTGTACTTCAGCGGAGGGCTGCAGTAGTCCCACTCAAAGTCTAAAAAATAGGGATTATAAGTGGTCCAGCACCAGTAGTAGTCCTCACCATATGTGGCGCAGGGGTAATCATCCAAGCACCTGTCTCCATTAACTGTGATGAGTGAGTACGGAGGTGAGCACTCTATCAGCTTCTGGTCTGAGTAACACCTGTAGCCCTTGATTCCGTCCAGGTAAAGGCAGGGAGAGGAGCAGCAGGGCTTGGTTTCACCTCCTGTGTCGCATTGACAGCTGTCATCAGATTCTGTGACGCTTGAGCAGAGTGAGCCGTCAGCTGCAGTCTTCTGCTTCTCTGGGACTAGCTGGCATTCAACAGCATCTGGCCCCGCGGATACCTCCCTTTTTCTGAGCTCATCATGCATTTTCCTCACTTGTGGCTTGGCGTAAGTTATAAGACAAGTACTTCCAGTAAAAACATTCACGTCCTCTGCCACTTTGTAGTAAGTGCTCATGCTGTCAAAGGACATCTTTCCTGTATTCTCATTGACCTTGACTTTTTTTTCAGGTGTGCTGTCACTGCTAAAGGTCCTCTTCACCGCGAGATATGTGTCTCGCATGCCTGAGCTCATTTGGTCTGCTTTGTTCACTTGTAGATTAATTAATTTCAGAAACACCTCCATAACCTTGGTTAATTTATTATTGTCACCAAAAAAATCTTAATTGACTGACGAGTCCTTGAGAGCTCACTGTAGAGCCTGCTGAGCTGATCATTCAGGTCTGAGACACTCATCAGGCGTATGTCAGGCTCTGCGGGGTGGTTTCTTCCCATATAGCCGAAGGATAAGGACTTACTGTTATCAGTGTCGTGTTTATAACAGACAGCCGTCCAGATGTGAGAGGGCACTGACACCCTTTCCGGCTCTTCAGAGGTTCCCCTGTGTGGTATCCATACATTGGGATCAGGTACTGTACCTGTGACAATGTAGGCTGCTGAAAAACCACCATCCATGACAAGCTTCTGTATTAAATAACTCCTCAGCGTGCTCTCCCAGTTATTCCAGTGGACATGGTTGAAACATGCATCTATAGGTGCAACGTTGGTCAGTGTGAACGTTGCTTTACAATAATTTGTTTGTGCATAAATGTGTGCTGTAGGTTTGAAACGTATCCAAGATGTAGGCTACTCAGTATTGGTCAGTCTTATGCAGAGCCTGGCATGATTGAGACAGCACTGATCTATATAAATGATCCATTACAAATAATTCTCCATTATTTGTTTTCATGATAAATGTCATTTATTTGTTTGAAAAAACATTGTTTTAACTACATGTTTTATTGTTACAAAAGCATATATCTTTTAAATGACACTATCTCGTTAAGACATTTTTTGTAAAAAAAAACAAAAAAAGTATTGTGTAAAGCGCTACACAAATAAATGTGAGTTGAAATTATGAATCATTTCTCGGGCTGAATATCAAGCGTGGGGCATCTGTTGAGGAGTGTAAGTGCAGGGAGGGCTCTGTGCACACGTCAACACAGACACTGATTGAATTATTACTCGTGAAAATCACATCATTGTTCTTCAAGCTTTGCGTAGATGTGTTTATGTGAGTCTACACTCATAAAATGTCAGAGATGTGTTTTTACTGGAAACAAATCATACTACAGTACTTTGTGTAAGAATTTGCAAATATATTATAGGTTCATAGATGTTTTTATTGAGCCTTTTGCTTTTGCATACAAATCATCAGGGAAAAATACATTTAAAGCTGGTGTTAATTTGAGAAACCTGTATGAGAGACTTTATGTTAGAAAGTTTGTTGGTTTGTAAGTAATGCAATTATAAATCACAATTAACTTTGCAAAGTCATACTTTAGTATTAATTGTAATAAGCACTTTAAACCATCTACTGTCTACAGTTTCTGCAACAATAATCCCAGTTGCCTTCTCTATCTGTGTAGCACCACAGGTAATTATAGTCATGGTAGCCACAGGCGTGATCAGACCTGCAGGTTTTGTGATTAACAGTTGAGTAGCAATCATCAGAAGTACAGCACTTGTCATATTTGCCTTCATCATCTGTGTAACACCATGTATATTTTGAACCATATTTTGCACAGGCGTGGTTGCTGTGGCAGTACTTCCCATTTTTAGCCTTACTGTACTTCAGCGGAGGGCTGCAGTAGTCCCACTCAAAGTCTAAAAAATAGGGATTATAAGTGGTCCAGCACCAGTAGTAGTCCTCACCATATGTGGCGCAGGGGTAATCATCCAAGCAACTCTTTCCATTATACGTGATGAGTGAGTACGGGGGTGAGCACCATTCCAGTGTCTGGCCTGAGTAACACCAATAGCTACTTAATTGGTCTATGAAGCAGGGAGAGGAGCAGCAGGGCTTGGTTTCACCTCCTGTGTTGCATTGACAGCTGTCATCAGATTCTGTGACGCTTGAGCAGTGTGAGCCGTCAGCTGCAGTCTTCTGCTTCTCTGGGACCAGCTGGCATTCAACAGCATCTGGCCCCGCGGATACCTCCCTTTTTCTGCGCTCATCATCCATTTTCCTCACTTGTGGCTTGGCGTAAGTTATAAGACAAGTACTTCCAGTAAAAACATTCACGTCCTCTGCCACTTTGTAGTAAGTGCTCATGCTGTCAAAGGACATCTTTCCTGTATTCTCATTGACCTTGACTTTTTCTTCAGGTATGCTGTCACTGCTAAAGGTCCTCTTCACCGCGAGATACGGGTTTTGTATTTCTGAGCTTATTTGGACTGCTTGGCTCACTGGTAGATTAATTAATTTCTGAAACTCAACTAATTTAATATCGTCACCAAAACAATCATCAACAAAAATCTCAACTGACTGATGGGTTCCTGGGAGCTCACTGTAGAATCCGCTGAGTTCATCATTCAGATCTGAGACACTCATCCGGCGTATGTGAGGCTCTGCTGGGTGGTTTCTTCCCATATAGCTGATGGACTGATCAGTCCCTGAAAACTCCCTATAGAGTCCACTGAGTTGATCATTCAGGTCTGAGACACTCATCAGGCGTATGTCAGGCTCTGCTGGCTGGTTTTTACCGATATAGCCGAAGGATAAGGACTTACTGTTATCAGTGTCGTGTTTATAACAGACAGCCGTCCAGATGTGAGAGGGCACTGACACCCTTTCCGGCTCTTCAGAGGTTCCCCTGTGTGGTATCCATACATTGGGATCAGGTACTGTACCTGTGACAATGTAGGCTGCTGAAAAACCACCATCCATGACAAGCTTCTGTATTAAATAACTCCTCAGCGTGCTCTCCCAGTTATTCCAGTGGACATGGTTGAAACATGCATCTATAGGTGCAACGTTGGTCAGTGTGAACGTTGCTTTAC